ATCGATAGAAACATTCCCTTCATCGTATGAATTAAGAATCCATCTCTAAGTGAATGAAACACTCGCATTCTTGTAATAATCTTTGAATGAAACACTCGCATTCTTGTAATTCCAAATAGCAATATTTTCCTTATCATTTCGCGTAAATTCCCACTCGTCTCGAATGAGATTTCACTCCAAGAAATGTAAAAACTACGCATAGTCTGTTCTTTATATTCTCTCGAAAAGCTCAAAAAGATAAAATTGATCATTGCAATATTAATTTGATACGAATTCAATGGCGCGACACAATATGGTACATTGTTTAACGGAAAATTAATAATATGATACACACAACAAATATACAAATACCGTAAATATCTGATCAGATCAAACGAATCTAAAGTTCGAGAATTACCCGGTAATTACTTTATCTTCAATGTTCGGAGAGAAGACTTATAAATATGTGAGTAAACGATAGTAATGTTGGCACAGCATAGCGCTCGCTGCGAGGCAGGTAGCCTTCTTAAATCAGGCACTGCTATGGCTCCGGTGTTTGTGTCGTTTACTTTGTCGCAAGCAATATTTAACAAATTGCTTTCGTTCCTCCTCGTCGGGCTTCCCATCGTCGTCGTTGTCGTCGTCGTCGTCGTAGTCGTAGCCGTCGTCGTTGAACGCGTTCTCCGGCGAGGATTTGTAGTTGCTCGCTTAGCGATCGCCTGCGAGGCTTCATTTGATGAATCGAGAGACAATGGGACGCCACGAAATGCTCGTCGATAAATACACACCGACAGGATTGTGTAGCTAAATCCTGTGCTCGACGTTTCACCGTCGGCTTATAATATCGGATATGCAACTAATTCGACGTATCATTAATGAAAATTTCGTGTAGTTACAAATGGAACCGTTGCGTTTGTCGAGACTGCGATTAATGAATGTTATTTAGGAATCAATCGAGATTTTAATTTTCAAGCATTTCACGCTGCATTGCTTTTTGTTGTATCGCCATTCGCGCGGCAGCAGAGATGAATATAAGCACAGCTAATTGATTTACTAGTTTTTTCTACTTTTTTTCTTGAACTTTCTTGAAGTGGAATCTCACTCGAAATGAGTGAAGCGTGGCACTATTTTTACTTGAGCTAGTAATGAAAATATCGTCACTCAAAATTGCAAGAGCAAATGCTTCACTCAAGCTTAGAATGGATTCTGGATTCATAAGTAAATATTTTAATCAATTGGAGTGAATATATTGTTGCAACGATGGGGAGTACATCAGATTCACCTTCTAATATCGATTTGTGTAAAAATATTCATTGGATGATTTAGAGTGGAGAATTCATTCCAGACACGGAGAGAATATTAGTTTTTTCTTTTTTATAAGAATTCTTTTCAATTTTACTATGTAGTAATGCAGGAAGGTCTTTATCTAATTTGTTAAGGAACAGTAAATTTCGCTAAACTTTTTAATAGCACATTCTACAATTTCTAAGATATAAGTAGCATACATATGAAATGAAAGAATAATAAATTATTGCAAAATATTGCGTGTAATCTATTCCTTGATTAAAATTCTATAGTATATTTTACTATAAAATTTTCTTCGTATACACGGATAGAATATTAGTGTTCCTTTTTTTATATAAATTCTTCTTAATTTTGTTATGTTTCTAGTAGTATGGGAATAGACTGCTAATAATATCTATTTTGCTAAGGAGTAGTAAATTCCGCTGAAAACATAGCAAATTTTTAACAGCTCATTTCAATTTTTAAAATATAAATATGAAATACAAGGATAATAAATTATTGCAGAATGCTTATCTATTCTTTACTTACTAAATTGTATGGTAATTTTCACTATGAATTCGAATTAGAATGAGTTGGTGGTCACTTTGCGTTTCGAATCACTTCGTGAAATTTGGAAAGTGCGCTTGTTCGTCTCCGTCATGAGATACGAGGCCAGTTGAACTCACATCGACGCGACGATACGATCTTGACTCTTATTTAACCTATGAACAAAACACTCTGAGAGTGTTTGAGGGAAACAAGGAGATTATCTGCAGGGGACCACGGGTTTATCTTACGGACACACAGGCAGCGGCCTGCGTGCGAGTGTGCGAACCATTGAAGCGGATTTGCCGGCGAAATTATTTGCGATAAACAATTCGGGCCGGTATCATCCACTCACATCTCATTCAGCTCGAACCTGATGCCACGGTCTTTTTCGCCGGCCATGAATTGTCGTCGTCGAGGCTGCTAAAATCTCGAATAAGCGAACAAGGTACGATCTCCCGAAAGCGAAAAGGAAAGCGACTGTCATGAGGCAACAGACAATGAAGAAAAGCGGAGCGATTTAAGGAATTCGGCGCGAGGCTCTCTGAATGTCCAAGTATAAGCGCATTAACCCCTGCGCGTTCTTAATCCTAAAACCCAAGATGTATTTTCCAAGGTGCTAATCCCCTGTTTTCGTCATCCCCTTACAATTCCATCGTTTACACTTCATGTGTCTCGGGATCCGCACATATTTGCGTGACTCTCCCTATTTGTTGTCGCCCGTTCTCCTCCGTTTCATACACAATTCATACCTCGGAGAGATTGCGTTAAAAAAAATGAGCAGAATCGTGTTAATATGTATCGCGAGACGTTTCGAGTATGCACGATTCTAAATCGGGGCGATCATGCTTTTTTTTTTTAAATCGAGGTTACTCCTCGCGCTCGTTACGTGGAACGTCGTCGTCGCGTTACCCGGCGGTTATCGCCGGCAGACACACGCGTTGCGACGATTGTTAGCTGCGGTATTGCTTAAACGTGCCGTCATCGACCGGGACTACATTCGACACATCGCTACTCGCCGCCTGTCATCCTTGTATGCTAATGTTTTGCACAGAGTCCTTAGCCCCCGCGCGGGCGTCCCGTTCGCGATAGCCTCGTATCTACCGCACCGTTGTGCGAAACGCGCAATCCGCCGGCGATCGCGAGCATACTTAACGAGCTGAGTGGAAATGATTGTACAGAAAAGTACGAGAGTCTATCGCACGAATCTGTATCGCCGCTTGTCACTCATCGCGGAGCTGGGAACTCTCTACCTGGTTCTCCCCCTTCGCGTAAAGCACAGCCGATCTGCCAGTGCGAATCACTCGCGAAAAGATCTCCACGGATAACGTTCGCAGTTGTGATGATACGCGGTACCTAACGCGATTATAATAGTGGAGTATCATTATACCGACAAATTCGTTTAGTATACAGAAAAAAAGAATATTTTGGAGAATACTTTTATTGTTGATATTTTAAAAATAAAATTGATGTTAAAATGAGATTATATAGCATTGAATAAAGATAAATTAGTCTTCAATCAAGACGAATATAGTCAAACTAACACAATCATATATATAAACAAGAATATCAATATTAGTTATATATGAGAAAATGATTATCTTAATTTTACTATATTTGCGTTTTGATTTAAGATCAATTTATCTTTGTTTAACGCCATATAATCATATTTTAGTATTAATCCTATTTGTAAAATGTTAACAATAAAGATATTCTCTAAATAAAATATTCTTTTTTCCTATGTAGGTTGGTGTAAAAAGTTTGTCAATTTTCTCGTAAATTATTGTAGAAAGCTTGAATATTGAAAAGAAAACGGAAAGTCTTCGTGTTAAATTTTTAAACAGTAGTGTCAGTACCGACTTGGTGTCGTTCATTTTATTCATAAAAATTATTAATCCTTCGAAATTACATAATCGCATTTTGTATTTTGTTGGACAAATACGATAAGCCCTTCGTGTTAATCTGATATTTATTTATTCATTTATTAACGAGAAATATCTTCAACAAAGAAAATGCACTTTGTTAGAAAGGGAAAGAAAAGTAAAAAACAAAATAAAAATTATAATACTTCAACTTTACATACGTAATAGGTTTAATATTTACTAAAAATGTTTTCATCATATGCACTGTGTCCCATATTTTCACATTATGGCTTGATCAATCGAGGAAATAACAGCGATATTACTCAAACAGAATGACATTTATGCAACATCAAACATATAATTATATATAAAGGAAAAAGTAATCTATAAGATATCGTTGCTATTTTTCCTCTTGACTAATGATAAACAGTTATGGTGCACGAATATGTAGGCATGTGATTGAAGGATTCCAATGATCTCAACAAATGTTGTAGCTATTATAGCGGTCTATACTCATGAGAAACTAGATCATACCGAGCGATAAAATGCAATCGCGCATTAATGCGAATTTTACGGAGCTCTGCGCTTAGACTCGCGAGTTTCCTGAGTCAGATGAAAAGTGTGATGTGATTTGTGTACGTGCACGTTTCGAGATGTGGTATCTCGTATGTATTTACCGGATTACGTATCAATACGGATTCTATATACAAAACAAACTTGCCTCGATTGGCGAGATATCACGCGCGTCTCATATTTTTTTTTTTTTCTTTATTTGCCTGCGCTTGTTGATTAACAGTCGGCTCTCTCAGGGAGGTAAATCAGAGGAATCTCACTCAGCTCGTTAATAGCGCGCACGTGCAATCACGAATAAATAGACGACGCGAAGAAAAATGCACTCGTACGGCGTCGCGACCGCGGGGAGATAATTTTTTTCGCGATCGATGCGACAGCTTGCGTGCAACAAACGTTCGTCTGGTTTGGCTCGTGTGTACATTAACTAATGGCCGAGTCCGGCTGTTTGTTATCACGACAAATAGATTTCTCAGGTACTCTCCGCGCGCGTCGCTTAACGGGCCGCGCAGATACGCGCGGAATGTTTCTGTCAACTTGGACTTTTCGAGCGGACAGCACGAATAGCGGATCTACAGCTTGCAGGAAGCATGATCGTCGATTACCGGGGCGGTAATCATCGACGATGATAGCCTCGAGCGAAAATAGAATATTCGACGGAGAGATCTTTTCGGGGACGAGAAGACAATATAGAGGAAGGCGAGAAAGAGAGAAAGAGAGATCAATCAGCGTAGAGATCGCATGTCATGGGAACAGAAACTTTATTAAAGTTCAGTTGCGTCGAGACAATAACAGGTCGCCGGCGTACGCTTACGAGGTAACTGTTAAAAAATGGTCTTGCGTTTCTCGGTGTTACGCCGACAAGGCGATCGATTCTCCCGATCGCTTCCGGACGTTGTCTGATTTATATATATATATATATACGCAGGTACGTATACATCGATACATATACATACATACAGAAGGAGACAAGGAGCGGGGACGATGCTCAGGGGAACGGGGGCGGATGGGACCAGGGCGTACTCGGGTTTGTACAGAATATACCTTCGTGTTCGTCTCTACCGACGTGTTGGTGGATTATACAGCGGGGAGGGATATCTCGCTACCTTAGGTACCTTAAACGACTTTTATATTACACTTTGAACAGCCGAGATCGCAATCAGTCATGACGTAATGCCCCGCGTGCAACGCATCTTCCTACGCGCCACCGTGCCCCGACACGGCGACGTACGGGGCCCACGTTTCTCGCGTGATTCTCGTATTTACAAAGATCCCTAAATCCGCCGGTAGAATCCCAACGTCGCTATATACACGGCGTTACGCGCGTTATTCAACACACTGAGGAAAAAGTGCCCGCCACTTGTGACTACTCTCTCAGGCGCAGGCGAATAATTGTAGTCGGGAAACCGATTTCTTGTAATAAGTGTCGCTGATAGTGTAACGCTACTATAGACAGTAATATCACTATAGTGTTACTAATGAAACAATTACAAAATATTATGCGTATATAATTGCATATAACTATATAGTATAAATATGCACAATACGATACAGCAATATGAAATAATTATATGCAAATTGTTTGTCACTAAGATAGTTTCTCGTTCAGACACCAAAAGGTATGTTCGGCGCCGAAAACGACCGCGTTGTGTTGGGATCAACAATTTTCTCTTAAATCGAGATTAAATTAAGACTTTCTTTTTAGATCTTTAAGGTGAAATTTTTTCCCTCAGTGTGGGATCGAGGGGGAGTTTCGCGTCAAGATTCTACCGTCGGACTCCGGTCTATATACATACTCTTTTCTTAGACATCTATCTATATAGTACACGTAGTAAATTCGCCGCGCGTAGCCTGAGCTCGCGCGCTCAAATCGCCAAATTCGACTGATCAGACTCAAGTGATCTCCGACGTTCGGAGAGAAGTGGGTCGGTCGTGTGCGTCGAAGAGGAAGCCAGCCCTTGTCCGCGCGTAACGATCCCGTTTATTAAATCGGGTGAAGAACGAGGTGGTATTCGCGAGCATTGCAGAAATGGCGAAGAATCGGAATTTAGAAGCACACGTTCGGCAAAGATTGCAACGTTTCCGGGAGTCCGTATGGCGTCTCTCGAGAAACCAGGTTGTCTGCTCGCTTCTCGATCCGTATTCCGTTCGTACATTCCGTTCGTACATTCAACGCTAAATGGAGCCGCCTAATTCTTGAGCTCAGATAACGCGTCATACGTGACTTCTGTGCGAGACAAATAAAGCTTAGAATCAATTGAATGCGTGACCTTTCAACTCGAGCGGACCAACGATTCGTTGGAAATTGCAAATCGACGAACAGAAACATGGAATCCGATTTCGTAGCGTACACGGAGAAACAGAGTTGGCTGCAGCAGCAAAAATCTATGTATGGCAGCGAAATCTCGTTGTAACATATAGATACCTAAAAGTACAGTAGGAATGTATTCAGCTATGAAACCGATGCAGCAACAACGGCAGCGAAAGTTTTAATTATAGTAGCAAATGTCCAGTTACAGCAGCAGATTTATTTTCAGCAAACCATGATTAGCTGCGGCGGTGAAATCTTTTTTTCCGTGTAAAAGTCCCATGATACAACAATCTTTTCCGATGGTATCTCTAACGCTAGAAACGATAGAAAAATATCCTCCCTTCCTCCTTTCCTGATGAATCTCAACGAAACGATTGGACTAGAAGCTCATGTCACCGCGCGGAGTTTCCGTCGCCGGCGACGTGAAAATGCACACCAGTCGTCGAACGCAAACGGGACATGCGATGGAACGCGACTTCTGTGACATTGGGAACATAATCGGCGACATAATCGATCTACTTCTCGCGTGGTCCGACTTCGGTCCGAAGATTTTTCGCCGGGTCCGTACCGGAAATCACTCGCGCGAACGCCGCGAATCGCTACGAGCATGCGAATCTTCAAGAGACGCTTGAAGAATCTCTTTTACGAACGCTCTTGCCGGTCTCTCGTGTGATCTCGACTCGGTCGCCATGTTCTCCTTCCTCGAAGTGCCCGATTCGCCGGAAACGTCTCGTGTTTCCGAACGCCCGTTTCTTTCTGTCGAGGATTGCAGCTCCAATGGTGGAACGCGTCGAGAGGAATGCATGGTTCAATCAGACGATTAGACCACAAAGTTTCCTCGTTCGGTGAAAAACCGGGCGTCCGGAGACGCGTACGTTCGGAACTCCCGAAATTGCGCGCGAAGAACAAAGACGAGGGCAAAGAGCGTGGACACATGAGACAACACGAGCAGCTACCTGCGAACCGACTCGCTCTCGCTGGCCCGGACTCGTCATTAGACGCTGGAGCCACCGCCGGAATTGGCCGGTATGTAGTAGTTCCTCACGTGCAGATGATTGTGAAGGTGTACGGCCGACAGTTGTTGCTGCTGCGGTTGCTGCTGCTGGCCGCCGCTCTGTACACTCTGATGGTTCCAATGGCCAGCCGGTGACAAGATCTTCGAGTCCGGGCTGGCCGACGGCGGCGTGCCCGGCGATGGTAACGCGTTCGCGTCGGCGACCACGTCGACGTCGACGTCCTCTTCGTCCTGATCGGGCTCCGGTAAGTCGTGCAGCTCGTCTTCGCTACAGCTGAAACGCCGCGACTTGGTCGAATCGGACTCCACGATCTGGTGCTGTTGGTCGTCCGGTGCTAGCAGGGAAGCCACGTCGAACTGCCGTTTTCTCGACGGCTGGAAAGACGACTGTCGCAGCGATTGGCTCTGAAAGGAGTGTTGTTGTTGTTGCTGCTGCTGTTGCTGCTGCTGCTGCTGGTGATGATGATGATGCGGCGTCCACAAGCCGGATATGGGCTGCGAGGCTACCGGGGGTCCAAGGGCAGTCGGGGGTGGCGGGGTGGCCGGTAAGGGCGGCGGACTGGGACTGTCCGGTTCCTCGTCCACCGCCAGACCCATGTGCCTGCGTACTTTCCGCTGTGCCTTGCGCCGCCGGAAATCACCGCGGCGGAAATCCTCAAGATTCGCCGGATGGATCGCCCAATAATGACCCTTGCCGTTGGCACTTCTTCCGGACTTGACGAAACAGTCGTTCAACGACAGATTGTGCCGGATGGAGTTACGCCAGCCGGGTCCACGGGTGCGGAAATACGGATAGTGCTCGAGTATGTGCTGGTAGATGTCGGAAAGCACGAGCTTTTTCTCGGGCGATGACAGTATCGCCATCGCGATCAAACCAATGTAGCTGTGCTGCGGCTTGGGTTCCTCCGGTATTCGCTGGTGATGGGGATGCAGCAATGCCATCGACAACGCCAAGCGACCAGGGTATCCGGCGGCAGCGGCGGCCGCGGGATACAGCGGTAACGGCGCCGGGAAACCCGGACTCATACTTAAGGTTGGCGCACCTGACGGCGGGTGACCCACGCCAGGATGTTGCGGATGCAGCTGCTGAGCCAGTCGCAGCCGCTCCGCCATCGCGTAGTGATACAGTTGCAATCGATAGTGCTCGAGACCCGGCAGGAAACCGGCCATGGGGTTACCCAAACCAACGGCGAGCGGCTCCTTGGCCGGCGGCGGGCTTTCGTTGCTGCACATGGTCGCGGCCGATCAGACGGAGCGATCCTTTCCTAAGATCGACACCGTGCCGGTCCGTTCTTCGCGCGCAAAACGCGGACACAAGTCACCGATCGTCGCGATTGCGTCGTCGGTGAGGGATTCCTCGATTCGGGGTTACTACGTGATCATATGGGGCGATCGGCAGATCGGGGAACCAGGATCGAGTCGAGGCACTACGTCGGGTCGCGAAACACTGACTAACCCGCCGTTATAAGCCGCTATGTCGCGTTACCGGTAGCGAAACGCACGTAACACCCTGCGAGCGAAGCCCAGCGTGATGAATTAACGTCGCACCGGGGGTGGCGACGTCGCGGCGCCGATCACGGTGCTGCCTGTTTTCCAACAGTTTTCACCCTGTTTGTCACGATGCGCTCCGAGCGGCCGACTGGTCATGATTTACGATTTCTCGATGCGACCGCCTTGCCGACGGCTTTTGCCCCACTCGTGACGCGGGCGCGACGTCGGGTAACACCCACCACGCACTATAAACACGGCTCTAGAGAAGGGGACTCAGGTTATTCGAGCGCGAGCAAGAACACGCGGAACCCGGCGCAGCACCCGGCACGGGACCCGCTGCGGAAAAAGGAGCCCGAGAACCGGTACGTCGACCAATGGCAGCACGGAGGACGGTACGGTTACGCTACCCACCATCGGTCGCCACACCTACGACGTTGCCGATATTGATCCCGGACAGCCTAATCTAGCCACCGGGGGCGGTGGTGGAGATGGTGACGGCCCTGATGATGGTGCGGATGCCGCTGCCGCCACCGCCACTGTCGTCTCTTATCTACGTAGCCTAACATAGCTCGATATCATAGCCGATCCTGTGCCGGGGAGGCGAGACGATCGATGCGTGTTTCCCGTTTTCAGAGCGTACTGCACTGTGGGTTTCGGAAATGGCATTGCTCTCCTTCTCTGTCCCCCTTTATCTCCCTCTCACATTCTCTCTGCCTTTTCCTCTGTCTACCTGTACTCTCGCAATAACTCTCGGCTCTACGTGTATGTTTCTCTCTCTCTCTTTCTCTGTCGTCACAGCAGCTCGAGCACGAGGATCGGGAAGATCTTCTAAAAAATCGGGAATCTCATTTATTAGCTCGTCGTGAGAACTATGAAACATAACGAGCTTCGCCATCCCCGACGAGCGTTTTCGCTCGCAATTAGGTCTGCCTACGACCGATCTGAAAATCGGGACCCCCGGGTGGAGTCGACAAGACCGCGTGCGTCAAAGACGAGAGAAGATTGCAGGCAAGAAAGGAGGGGTCGGACGGAATCGCCGACCCCACCGTTCTCACATATCCGCTGTACCTTCTGCGCCCGTCGGAAAATCCTTTCGGCCCGAGCGCGGCGCGATTCGCGGACAAAGGGCCGCGAGGAGTACCCGGGGTACTCGGCGTGCATTTATATATACGTAGTCGCCGCCCCGCAACTATTTGTAAGCATCCGCCATGCTGGTTTCATATCTGCCGTTTCGGCTTGCACAAAAACACTATTTTCAATCGGGCCGCGTAGAGCTATATCGGAGGCTGAGAGGGAAAGGGTACCGCCGCAATAGCAGCAGCAGGAGCAATAGCAATATGGCGTTTATCTAACCGGAGGTATGCCAATGTGCGTTGCGCGCGATCGGCTCGGGTTCCAATTGTCGCGACTCGTTGCAAATAACAGCCCGTCGTTATCCCTTTTCCCCGTCTGTCCCGCGCACCCGTTCCCACTAACTACTCCTATCGTGGCTATTCGCGTCTCTGTCGTGTACGCCTGAGCCTCGTTGCAACGGAAATACAACAACGTTGACTGCGCGCATCAGCGCGGCACGGCGCACCATGAACATGCGAAAGCGAATGTGTAACTGTAAATGTTCCACTGTTGGAGTTACGTGTCACCCGGTAGATCCTGACTACGTGCAACGGCTGCAGATAGTGATACCACGTTGTCTCCCGGCGAATGCCACGAACTCTCCTTGTCGGCCATTCCGGCCGTGTGAGTTTTTTGCGTCGGGGGGTGTAACATTCATATTGCGGCTGTAACGCGACGGAAACGCGTGAGTTAATTGCGCCATTGTGCCAAAATGGAAAAATATTCTGCTAACTTTAGAGTGCTAATGCTAATAGGTGATCCGTTAACTGTCTATGTGGAATCATTTTGATTCGCTTAGTTGTTTCTTACTTGTATCGTGTCTTAATATTCTCAATCATTTTTCTTTACAGAAAGGAAATAAAGTTATATCAATTACAAACATTATTAAATCGCAGCAAGTTTTCTAGATACAAATATTCAAAATGCAGGTCAGAATGACCAACATTGGTAATCTAGAGCCAAATAACAATGTTTGTAACAACAGTGTATCGCGTATAGTTGTATAATCGAGAAAGCTCGTTTCACCTCAAGAAAAGAGAGAAATAAGCTTTTATTACGACTCGAATCTTAATGTTTTCTCCTCGTAGCTATATGCAACAGCAATTAGCTAGAATTATGACTGTCAAAGAGTGATGCCAGAAACAGGTCAAAAACCGCCTGTTTCGCCACCCTTGAAATCCGACTTGAATTTGGTACTAAACGATAGTTATATATAAGACATTAATCCTCTGAAAGTTTCAGTTTGAGCCCGCTCTTTATCTCCAAAATATGATGGTTCAAAGTTCGCATTGTGCATCAAATGCCTTATCCACTACTTCAATAAGATCTACATGCAAAAAATAAGGTGATGATATATGTCATGAAGAATAAGATCTTACATATATATCTACGCGTATGTGTGTGTGTGTATGAGCGCGTGTGGGTCATATTTTCTTAATCCGTTAATTCCCATAGGTAGCTCAGAATAGCTAATCAAGCATCCCAAATCGTGAAAGGCATGGGGATTCACGCTAATCAAGCACCATCTGAAATGGGTCAGAACAGTTGATAAAGACCTTGATGCACAATGCGAACTTTGATCCATCATATCTTGAAGATAAAGACTGGGCTCTAAAACTTTCAGAGGATCAATGTCTTATATATAACTATCGTTTAGCACCAATTCAAGTCGGATTTCAAGAGTGGCGACACAGGCGATTTTTGGCGTCACTCTTTGTCCGCTTTTGGACGGATTCGTATTTGCACTGTTACGAGTGCGAGAGAGAGAGTTAGAGAGAGAGAGGGAGAGAGAGAGAGCCTACGAAGAACATATTGAACGTAAGTACGGCTCTTAGAGCTACATTTAACGGCAAATTCGCGCGAATATCGCGTCGTGTAAAAAGATGCAATTTCCCGGCATAATTCACTTTGCGCGCTTTTTCGCGCCGCGATGGGACACCCGTGGATCTACGTGAAACCCCGGGACATTGCATTATCGGCAACAGTGAAAATCGCGGGTAGATAGGCGCGATAAGCGAGGCTTTTCAAAGGAAGCGGCCCTCTTCGAAATAATCGACGAGCGTATTTGCTCGCGCGAAACAGGATCTGAAACTCGTAACTATGGAATCTGGTCTGATCTGCCGTGGTTCAAGCAAAGAGAAACCGTAGAAGCCGAGACGAGAATAACGAGAGGAATGACAGCGCGAAGGTGTGATGAGCGGAGCAAAAGAGAGAGAGAGAGAATGAGAGAGAGAGAGGAGAAAGGGAGTAAGGTGCTCTCGAATTCGCGGGGCAAACTCGAGCATCGATAAGATCAATTTCTCCCGACGACGACGACCACGACCGCGCAAGAGAGTAAAGCCGACCGGAGGTGGTTACGCGAAACCAGACTCGCCGCCGCTGTCAAAACACAATAAAACGAGCGATCGAGAGAAGAATCGACGGTCGATTTCCAACGGTGGCCGCAACGAGCTCCGGGTCACGTCCGTCGTATGCGTGTGTGCGTGTGTGTATGTCCGTGCGTGAGCGCACACGGGGATGCGTCGATGATGTACAGATACAACCGAGGCATTGTGCGCGCGGCTCGCTCGCGTTAAAACGCGCTCTCCTCGTGTCGAATAATGGCGATAATTGTGACGAAATGGAGCGTCATTGTGGGAAAAAAGGTACAGCCCGGAACGCGGTCGAGGGTGGCGGCGCGGATAAGTGGCAGATGCATGGCGCTCCGTTGACAGCTTCTCCGATTTCCCGGCGCGTCCGCGTCCACGTCGTCTTCGCAGCTTTCTCGTAGCGCTGCCAGAAACACGAATTGCATCGAAGTCCCTTAAGACGCGCGTGTTTTCACTTCCGAAGATGCAATAAACCTTTCGACGGAGTTTTAACCAAAAACCGCGATCCTCGTGAATAAATCGATCGAGTCGCCGATTTGGAAGAGAGAATCTTTGTTTACGTGCATGGAGAGAATATTGCAGTAAAAATTACAATGCAATTTTAGCAGTCCGAAAATAGGCGTACTATTACGGAAATTATAATAAAACATAATAAAAATGACCATAAATGTAGTAAGAGTTATCATATTTATGGTCATTTTTATTATGTTTTATTATAATTTTCATAATGGTGCCAGTTTATTCCTGGACTACTAAAATTGCATTGTAATTTTTACTACAATATTCTTTCCGTGTGTGCAACTCGGTCTCGCGAAATTAAATTTTATTCGATCGTGTGTGTGCGCGTGTGTAGTGCAAAAGTTTTGTGTCGTGTTTGTCATGCGAATAAAATCGAAATGAAATCATCAAATTTTGAAAGATTAAAATTTTGCGAATAAAACTAAAAGTTAAATTAAAATTTGAATTTAATTAAAATTAAATTAGTAATGAACAATTTTACGGATGAAATGAGCCACATTGAATCGATATTTTTGTAGATATTTAACGAGGATTTCTCATTTTGATCGTAATAGCCAAACTTCCGATGAAAATTTAATAGAAAAATACCAAATTTTGCGCGGCAACCTAATAATCAGACTAAAATTAACACGTGCACGAACTGTGCCAGCCAAAGAACGCGGTTTTTACTAATCCTCGCGCGACGGCTCGGTCAATTTTTCGCTTCTGATATTAGAGAAGTGAAAACTATGCGAAAATTTAGTAACGCTAATCCCGGCTCGCCTAATTCCCCGTGTAATCCGTCGCCGCGGCGGAAACTCGCTGCAATTTCCCGTTGGTAAAGTTAATAAATGTCGCGGTGGAGCGACCAGCAAGTTCGAAGGCTGCTCGGAGTTTCGTGTTGGCGCACGGCACGGGGTATCCAACGGTTTTGATGCTTCGAAATACACTGCTAATCGGTTTTCAAACTCCTCCCGCTGTGTACACGCTCACGACGGGCGATCGAACAAATCAGACCTGCCGATATCTCGTGGGAATTCAATCTAACGCAAGACGCGTTAAACATACGGCCGCAACGCGCATACAAATTTCGCGATTCTCGGCGAGTGTACACCAGTCGTCATACGTGACCTGATGCTTATTCATTGTCATTATT